TAATCAATGACAAGGATAAAACAGAGATACTCTGGCATGGAGGATACCAGATACCGCACTGGAAATAAGGGAACGAAGTCAAAGTATACACGTTAAAATGGAGAGATCCTGCAGCTCTCCCAACAAAATGGTGGTATCAGGCATACATTTTCAAACAAACTCAACTACTTCCTCACCAGTGGCCCCACTTTAAAGGAAATTCTAAAGATTTCAGGCAGAAGGAAGATGATCCCACTTGGACAAACAGAGATACAAGGAGTGAAGGGCAGGGAAAGCAGTAAAAATGTGGACAGATCTAAATGAACACAGATATTGTGGGGTTTAAAAATAGAATTAAAGTGTGTAACAACAGCAGCATGTAAGTTGGGGACCACTCAATGGTCCTAGGAGGGGGGTAAAGGTTTGAGAAACAGCAGACAAACATTTCCTTAGTTAATGATGCATACTGTAGTTTTCCTGGGTATTAACAGAACAGAAAAAATAAAGAACATTTAAACTAGAAAAAGATAAAAACTGAATTAAACAAAATAATCTAAAAGAAAGCAAGAAAGAGAGAAAAAGAAAAAACAGGAAAGACAGAAAGGCTTTAATATAAATAGATTGGTGATTATATTAAATATAAATGGGCTAAATGCAATAGCTAAAAGGTGGAGATTGTCAAACTAGATTAAAGAAAAAACCCAACTACATGCTGTTTACAAGAAACAACTCTGATGCAGAGAAGTTGAAAATAAAAGGGTTGAAAATGTTATACCCCAACCAAAAGCTAGTTAGAGGAGCTATATTAATATCAGGTAACAAGTATTTTTAAAGATAAAGAGGTTCAATTCATAATGACAAGAACATATCTCAAAGCCTGCCATACACATTTATCTAATAACATTGCCTCAAAACATAAGAAGGGAAAATTTATGCAACTAAGAGGGAAATAAATCTATAACCACAGACTGATATTTTAAAACTCTCTGTAACTGATAAACCAAAATGGACAAAAATATCAGTAAAAATACAAAAATTTCACAAACTTGACCTAATGTATGTAGATAAAATGCTGCTCCCCTCCACTGGAGAAATGAGCTTTTCAAGGACACATAGAAAGGTTGCAAAAAAAGGATTGAATACTGGGTCATAAGGCAAGTCTCAATAAATTTCACAGGACAGAAAAGCATGTATTCTTTGATCATAACACATTTATGTTAGAAATCAATCTCCAAAAGAGAATTAGAAAAGTTCTATTTGTACAGATTTTACGAAATCTATTTCTACACAATCCAGGGTTCTAAGAAGAAACCATAATGGAAATTAGAAAACACTTTAAATGTATGGTAACAAAAATAACAGACATCTAAATCTATGCGATGGAGCTATAAAATACACAGAAAAGGATAGAAGCTTAAAATTAAGAATCCTAATAAATGGATGGATATACCATATTCATGGACTGGAAGACAGTATTGTTTAGATGTCAATTTTCACCAAATTGATTTTAGTCAATGCAGTTTCAAAGTGTAACTCAATATGTGTGGATTTAAATCATTTTTGTTGGTTAAACTGTTTTTTGTTGGTTGATTTCATGTGTGTACGTACATGTATGTGCACATAAACACATAAGCACGAATGTGTGGAATTTGACAAGCTGATTCTAAAACTTTTATGTGAAAAAACAAGTGATCAAAAATAGCCATAACACTCCTCAAAAAGAAGAGACATGTTGGAAAGACTGACCTAATACTGGGCCAGGTTAGAAAGTGACAGCACTTAAAGAATATAATATTTGTGTAAGGCTAGACAAAGAGATCAACAGAAAAGAAAACAGACTCCAAATTCAGACCCACACATATCTGGACACTTAGGATAAAGACGGCACTACACCTAACAATGCATGTTCTTTTCAACAACTGAGCTGAGATGATTGTGTGTCCATATAGAAAAATATAAAAATAGACCCTCTAATAAACACTATACTCAAAAGTCAACTCAAAGTGAATTACAGACCTAAATATAGAAAGTAAAACTGTCAAGCGTTCAGAGGATAATACAGATTATCATCATGACCTCATGGCTAGAAAATATTTCTTTAATAAGATACGTACCCAAAGAACTAATCCTAAAGGAAAAGTGATAAATTTGACTAAAAGTTAAGAACTTCTGTTAATTAAAATAAACTATAAAGAGAATGGCAAGAAAAGTCACAGAACGGGAGAAACAAAACATTAGCAAACATGTAGTTGACTAAGAACTCATATTTAGAACATACAAAGATCTATTACAAATAAATTACAGAGAGAAAACCCAATGAAAAAACATGGGCAAGAGATTTGATCAAGCATGGTTTATGTACGTGTGCGTGCGCACACACACACACACACACATGCACATGCATGCACACACGAGCACACACAAAGTCCCAATGGCAGATAAGCACACTAGAAGATGCTCAGCCTTGTTAGTCATGCAGCAGTAGAACACGAGATCTTTAGCCTTTCCTGTGGTGACATGAGGGAGGAGAGCACAGGTGCACATTAAATCCTCATGTCGTTATGATAGATTTATCGGACTCTGATACACACGTCAAGAAACAGCAAGCAGCAAAGCATATTACTGAGATGTACAAAAGCAACTGCTAGAAAAGCGAGCTAAGAGTGAACTCAGTGTGGAGAGTGGAGGCAGAGACCTCATTCCCCCATTCAATACATTTCGGCATTTAAAACACAGGTATTATTTTGATGAAAAGAAAATATAAGAACTGAAAAAAACTAAGCATGGGTTGGGGAGAGTGAATGGGAGGGAAGGAGGCCAAGTCAGGGTAGTTAGAGAATTCTCTGGCAAACATGCTTGTGAGTGAGAGCAGAGGAACAGCATGCAGGGCGGCCTGGTGCGGTTTCATTCCATAATCTGTATCACGTCCCTTTCACGCCGGCTACCTGGAAGGCCAGGTGCTCATTTATGGCTCCCATCTGAAGACTGACTCCCTAGGCTCTAGGGCTTCTTCATCTCTGACCGTTCCAACCATCATTTCCCTTTGCTCTGGTATTTCAGTATGCTATCTCTTATCTTATTCTGCATACTTGATAGGCCTTTCTAACGTGGAAGGCTTTAATAAAACTCCAAAGAATTAATGAATATGCATCATACTAAACTATGTCATATTTTAACTTTTGTTGACAATTTAAAGAATATTCTGGGGTCTTGAAATTCTTCATTAATTATCACTGTAAAAGCTAGTTATATACAGCTTGACCATATACATGCTGAGCGACTTCTCTGCTACACGAACAGTAACTGTGGTTTCCATGGATGTGTTCTGTCCCCACCCTGGGACTCATGAGGCAGGACAGGGGAGCAGCTAAGAACCAGGCACACACCAAGCTTACGTTCTGGGTCAGATCTGTAGGACGAGCCACTGAGACTCTCTCAGTGGACATCCTCATCTACAAGACGGGGGCGACGATGACGACAGGACCTGGTTCTCGAAGCTGGAGGATTAAATGAGGTGACGTGCAGGAACCCAGTAAGGGTTCGGGGAATGTTTCTGGAAAAGAAGGAATTACTGACAAGGAGGCCAAAGAGACTCTGCCAGCATGAGCCACGGGCGGCTGGTCTGTACGGCCATAACGTGCTGTGTACAACGGCCTGTCAGAGCCAAAGGCCAGTGATCAAAACCTTCATTCCCTGGAGGTCAATTCAGGGAACATGGAACTGCGGGTGAATTTCTTTTTTCACATAATTCATCCTTTCCATCAGAAGCGCACCCACTACGAATGTGCTCGAGCCTTCTCATACTGCTTCCCCGGGAGCCAAAGCATTTTCCTTTTCCCTTCCTTGTTTAGGGAGCTATGACAAATTCCACAGCCCTGTGAGGCACGGAGCCTGTCGCGCCTGACTAACGCGATGCAGTGAGCCAACTCTGCTTCACTCCGAGAAGAGTCTTCTGGGGCTGTTCGTCTTTTCCTGACTGGGCTTATAAACTGTTGTGCTCTTTAGATCCAGAGATTTTCTTCTATTGCTCATCAGACAAATGACGGTATCTTTAGCACAACAATAAGCATGTCTCCATCTACACACTTTAAATACGTGATTTTCATCAGCTCCTTTTCTCTTCTTGACAGAAACCACAGTGGGGGGTGTTCGTTAAGTGCCCCCCTCTCCCAGCTTCTCAGTTCTAGGCTGGGCTGCTCACCGCCTCTCCGGGGCTTACGCTCTCCACGTTCTCATCACCCTCCTCCCCAAACACATGCAACTGACACAGGGGCATGCAGAGGCCAGGGCGAGGGACTGGACTGAGTCCGGCGGTCACCAGGGAGGTCTGGAACTTACCAGAATACCTCTCAAACCTGAACAGGCTGAGGTCCTCGTCACTGTTCTGTGATCAGTTTCCTACAGTGCCACTGGGTGACGGGGCTTGGAATAAGCAGGTTCCCTGTACGCCCTCCAACAAGGGGGTCACCCAGGCAGCGGCAAGAACCGGAGCGCCCAGCTTCAGTACCAGAGGGTCACAGGGCAGAACCTGTCCAAAATGGGTACTTTGTGCCACTGAAATGTTTCTCCCCATTCCTGGGGCCTCCAAGTGCCCCTCACGTCTGTCACTAGACCATCGTGAAGATGGTTTGTCCCAAAAGACTGCATACTCAGACTGCCTAGAGCACAACAAAAACAAAAACATAAAAACAAAACCCAAATTCTTCACATTTACAAATATGCACGGTTTGGAAAGGTGACATCGACGCGCTGCCGCACACAGGGCGAGCGTGGATGAGTGTTCCCCACCCCCCCCAATTTTAAAGCACTTGTGAGGAGAAGACTGGTTTAGAATGTCCCCCGACCTTGACCACTCCTACTCGTTACCCCGCATAGACCGCAGGACTGATATTCCAGCACGCGAACTTTGAGAAAATGGCTTAGTTCTGAGGCACAAGCACACAAGAAGGCCAGTGGCTGCACACCCAGTGAGGCCAGCGCCCCGACTGGGGACGATGTTCCCGCCTCCCGTGCAAGGATACAAGGGTTACTGTCGTCGATGCTGCAGCTGTCCAGGATCAAGGGGATGCCGTCCAGCTCACTGACCTGCAGAGAAAGGAAAGGCAAATTTATACAGGGACAAAACCTTGGGTCATGTTGGAGAGGACAGAGCACTGGTTCCTCCGTTGTGTTTCCTCACTCGCTGCCACGATGTAACAGCATCCTGTTATATTTCAAGCCTGCCCCATCAGCCACAGCAGAGTTCTAAACGTGACCTTGTTGGTGAGGCAGGCAGACACCAGAGGTGTAGACCTTAGTGACCAGCCTGCCCTAAAGGATTCAGATGTTGATGAGATGCCAGTTAATAGGGGACCCTCTTCCCCTCCCCTGCTACAGCCCGGTCTCCTGTACCTCCCACCACCCCAATCTCTAATGACTCAGCCCAACACCCCTCATCACTTCCTCTTGGCCTAGCCGTGTGCTCACCGTCCTCCTGCTCCCGCTAAGTTACACGCTGGTGTACAGGCACAATTTCTACTTTACGCGGGCTGCATACTCATTGTATCATTCCTGCTTTTATGACATGTTAGTGTTATTTTTAGGTTTTAGGTGTTATTTGGTAGGATTTGGTAGGTTATTTTTTGGGAATGAAAATGCTCAAAACTTTTTCCATGTAAATTAAGGGTAACTGCTTCTTTGCTTTCTGCCCTCGTGGTTTATGAGGCTTCAGAGGAACACTCTACTTTTGCTCATCAGGGGAAACCTGTATCTGAAACACCTCCACCAACTCAGAAATATTTAAAAACAGATAAACAAAAAGGGATACACTCTTTTTCTTCTTACCTTTCCTCAAAAATGTTGGGGCAACTGGACAGCCATATAAGGACGAAAAAGTGTATCTCTTCCTAATACTGTTCACCAGGATAGATCACAAGTGGACTGGAGTTTATCATAGTTTAGTAATACTAGTAAGTGGACTGTTTTTCCAAGTTAAGAATAGGAAAAGCAGGGGTGCCTGCGTGGCTCAGTCATTAAGCATCTGCCTTTAGCTCAGGTCACGATCCCTGCATCTTGGGATCGAGCCCCACACCGGGCTCCCTGCTCGGCGGGAAGCCTGCTTCTCCCTCTCCCACTCCCACTACTTGTGTTCCCTCTCTCGCTGCATCTCTTTCTGTCAAATAAATAAATAAAATCTTAAAAAGAAAAAAGGTAGGAAAAGCTTTTCAAACTATGACTCACAATCCCATAGCAACAGGGACAAGGTTTAAAGGGTTGGAATACATTTTTTAAAAAGGCAAATAAAAACTGGGAAAATTACTTATTAGCTACCATAGGCAAAAGGTTAGTATGTTAATATATAAAGAACTTGTGGGGGTACCTGGGTGGCTCAGTGGGTTAAAGCCTCTGCCTTCAGCTCAGGTCATGATCTCAGGGTCCTGGGATTGAGCCCCGTATCAGGCTCTTTGCTCAGCAGGGAGCCTGCTTCCCTTCCTCTCTCTGCCTGCCTCTCTGCCTACTTGTGATCTCTGTCTGTCAAATAAATAAATAAAATCTTTAAAAAAATAGTAAAAATCAAGAAAAGACCAGTGGTCCAGTAGAAAACAATGGATCGAATACATGAACAGAAATGGTACAGAAACAAAGAAATGCAGATGGACCACGGGCATTGGAGTAAGTTCCACTTTGCAAACTGCGAGCAGCTGAGACACTGCCTCTCACCCAACAGTGTGCCAATGGAGCGGGAGACAGGGAGAAATGGGTGTCCTCACACACTGCCGGAGCGCGTGCTAAAATGGCACAGCACCCATGGAGGGGCACAGAGGGGCAAGGAGGGGCTGCGCGGGGTCAAGCAGACTCACAGGGGCTACTGCTCTCTGACTCAGTCATCCCCGCCCCGGGACGACACCTCAAACAGCATGGTCCCACAAAGTTAGGTTTGCACACGTGATTCACTGCGGCACACTTTCTACTTTTGTAAGTTTGAGATTCGATTCACACACGGTAACGCTCACCTTTTTAAAGTGCACAAGTCAGTGGATTTTCATTTACTCCCACGGTTGTGTGACCATCACTGCTCCCTAGTTTTAGGACACTTTAGTTATCCCCAGAAAGAAACTCCACACCCCTCAGTCATTCCTCCCTTCCTCCTCCGTCCGCAACCTTGGCAACCACTGATCTTTCTGTGTCTGGATTTGCCACTTCCGGACGGTTCGTATAAATGGGGCCGTTCGGTATGGGGCCTCTTCTTTCAGTAAGTGTAATGCTTTCGGGGCCTTCCACGCCGAAGCACGTACCAGCGCCTCGTTCCTTTTTACGGCTGAATAATATTCCACAGTCTGGAGAGACCACGTTTTCATCGCTGACAGACATTTGAGTTGTTTCAACTTTCTGGCTAGCGCGTCCATGCTGCTGTGATCACCGTGTACCTGTTTCTGAGTGGATGATTTATACTTAATTCTCCCCACTGTGTATCTGGAGGGAAAATGGCTTGGTCTTGGTAACTCTCGAACATTCTGAGGCACCACCGAGTGCTTCTCAAAGTGCTGTACCGTTCTCTAGTCCAGCCGCAACACACGAGGGTTCCAATTGCCGCACACCCTTCTCGTTACTTGTGAACCATCCTGGTGGGTGTGACGGGCTGTGTCATCGTGGTTGGATCTGTACTGCTCTGACAACTAATCGGTTGTATACAATGCAATGTACAACAACAAAGATCCCAGAAATGGCTCAAATGTCAAATACGCTATGGCACAGATGTGAAAGGCTTGTACGCAGCTGGGAATGCAAGTGGAGAAGAGCTAACACACTACTGGGCAGGGATCGCCAGGATGCAAGGTAAGTGAAGAAAGCAAAGTGCAGTGTGGGCTTGTCTGTGGACCTTTTGTGTCATGAATCAGGAGAAATATACAAATTTCCTTCTATTTCCCAAAAGACACCCTGAAGGGTGAAGTAAAAAGCTGTAATGGTTATCCACAGGGGATGAGGAGAGAATGAGGCCCAAGAAACAGGAATGGAGTCAAGGCCTCTTTTACTGTACCTGCTTATGGAATTCCGACTTTGGAATCCTGAATGTATTTTATATAATTTTATATAATTAAAATTATATTTTATAGAATTAAATTTATAATGGATATTAACTAGACTTCTTGTGATTATGTCAAAATATACACAAATACTGAGTCAGTATGTTGTATACCTGAATGTCGTGTGTTATGTGTCAATTATGCCTTAATAAAAAAGTTAAATTTACAAAGTTATTTTAATCTGACGACACGTCAAACAAAACTATTTCACAGGACGGAAACAGTCCCTGGTGAGATGTGTACCCTAAACTCAGAAAGAACCGCAGAGAAACAGTCAGACGGCATTTGGCTTCACTTATTCTGAACCGTTATTGATATATTTAGCTTAAAGCAAAGGATAATTAATGTTTTTAGGAAAAAAGATTTTCAGCATAAAAAAGAACTATCAAATCCAGAAGCTAATTTTATACTTATAAATTAGAAACATTAGTAAGATTTCCTAATCTATTTTTCAATTTCTAAGAAATACTTATTCCCTAGCTGCCTACCATGATGGCCCAGAAGAGAAGACAAGCATCACTGAGCATTCCCAGGGCTGGATGAACTGCGGACCTTCCTCGACTTACCACGGGGTTATGTCCCGATGAACCCATCGTTACTACACACAACCTACTGATCGTCGCAGCGGAGCCCCGATGACCATAAGCGTGCTCGGAACGCTCACGTTATCAGCCTATAGCGGGACAAAATCATCTGCCACAAAGCCAATCTGATACTAGAGTGTGAAATAGCTCACGTACAGAGTGAGAAACGGAAAGGCTGAAGATCATGGCCCGGCTGTCAGCGTATCAGCTGCTGCTGACCTGTGTGATGGTGTGGTTGACAGGAAGCTGTAGCCGCTGGCCCGCGTCACCAGAGAGAGCACCGCGCGGATCGCTAACCTGAGAAAAAATCCACTCTCAGCATTCCAAGGGCAGTCTCTATTGAACACGTTATCACTGGCACACCATCATTGGGGTGGAAATTCCAAAGTCGAGCCACCGTGAGCTGGGGACTGTCTATATATACATGTCCCGGCGGAAGAAGGCAGCCCTTCCGCCGCAAGGTCACTGATACTGACCATCCTCAGTTTCACAAAGGCAGAGAGGAAGAGAAGAAATCTAATTTCTACCCTTTTTTCTAGGCACTGGAGATAGGGTGAGAAATGAACTTAACAGGCATCAAGCAAGTGCGAAGAACGACAAACACTTTCATCATGTTTCCCGTTATTCTGATGGAGCCCGGGTACGCATTATTGGCTCTACTTTACTGAATAAGGAAGCGGGGCTCCTGAGTTAAGCACCCTCCTCCCGAGAATCACTTCACTAATGAGTGCTACTCAAAGTGGCCCGGAGACCACCACAAATCTGCGAAAATAGACCAGGAGAGGAAAAAGCCAGGAACCGAGCTAACGATTTAATGATTTAACGAGCTACGCTGTTACGTACCCTGAATCTTAAAGTAATAACATCTAGGTTTGAATCTTCCAGGTCTTTTTAAAATTTTTTATTTTTCTAGTAATTCATTTGTATTATGTTTTATAAGTATCTTGGTCCAGGATGGTCTGGGAGAAAAGAGAGGACATTCTTCAGCACAGGTAGTGTGAGAAGCATTGGCTTGGAAGGTCAGAGCCCTACAGAGGGCCGTACCTGGAAGGGGTCACATGCTTGAAAAGCACAGAAGGAAATGTTTTGGCCAAACTGGTAATGCCCCAGTGAGATTATAGTCAAAGCTTCCCAATGCAACCGTCATACCGCACGTCTCCTCCAATAACCTGACACGCACCTACCAGCAGGTCTGGGGTACTAACAACGACGTGGCCAATGCCTCTGTCCTGGGGTGAAGAGGAAGGATCCAGAAGGAGCAAGGGCCTGGTGACTGGCATAGTGATGAAGGGATACCATTGGACCCTCCAGCCCTTTGCAAATATGTGATCTTAAATCCTCCTGGAACATACTGGAATAGTTCGGTGTCTGACCATACAGCATCGGCCTCACAGGGAAGGCCTCCCCGAGGAAGTGGCATTTAGCTCGAGATGAATGT